GGGGGGGATTTGTAATTCTGGGCCTGAGACTTAAACAACTCATGGCACACGGCACATCGTTGTCTGGCAGGGCAGGGGACCTGATGTTTCAGTAACAGGTCCGGTCTCTTTTTCAGCCTGCGACTGGACAGTGAAAGAAGAAGCAGCAGACTGATGAGACCATCTCTCTGTCACTCTGCTGCTATCAGCATGTACCTTGTTAACTCACTTGCATGTAGTACACTTGCTCCCAGTCCCGCCTCTCTCCTTCTCAGTCTGAGTTCTACTGCTGTACAGGGTACTGCAATAGGCGGCTACCCTATTAGCTACTTACATTGCTTGCATTTAGGAAAAACTATTTTACTGATGTATTTTTGAACACAGAGCAGCATTATTTTGTTTCTTTTATATCTCTCTGGAGTTCAGCTTTAACATTACTATAGTACTACTATACTGTTAAATCTTTTGGCAAGTAAATCGAATAAATGTCCCAGCTGTGAATGGAACCATTTGGCCAGCGTTTCCCTTTTGAAAAGCAGATTTGACAAAAGAAGCAAGAAAGCCTGGTATATAAAGTGCAAAATAATCTTACTTTCTCACATTTCTGATATTTAATTAACTGAAATCACGTATCTATGGAGAATTTTTGCACACTCAGAGATAAAATTATGTAGCATAATAGAGTCTGCTATTAATGTTTAATATGCCTTACACAGAACAGGGTAACATAACCAAGCTCAGTTCTTATTAATGTGATATATACCTCATAGGGTGTGATAAAACTATTCTGTTTTACATAATCTGTACTGTCTTTGCTACAGATTTTGACTCTTCAGTTTAATGACATATTGATACAATACATAAGGACATTTTTCATAACGTATTTCCCATGTCTAAACTTCGGTCCACAGGAGTGTTCAGTACTGCAGAACTCCGGTAAGGAAGACACAATGCAAAATTACCACAAAAAAAAACCTGCGATCAGCATTTAGCTCTGCAAATATTTGTATAGTAAGTATAGTTAGATCAGCAAAAGTTTATTTCTGATTGTTTGATGTGGGTTTACTGCACTTGGCACATCTTCTTTGCTTTCTGTATTGCCTTACTGAATAAGCCTGTTTGTGCTCCGTCTCTGACTTATAAGCCGCTTACAGACAGCGGTCTGCTGTGCATGACAGATACAGCTGCTGAACGATCAATGTGGGGGGGAAAAAGCAATCGTGTGGGAAGATCTGCCCCAGTGAATAACCTACCCCCCTCCTATCCTGATAAGGCTCAGGTAGGTCTGCCAGTGTTGATGGCTTACAGACATAGGATTGTTCCCCATCTAACTGCAAAATGTTCACCCGAGCAATCTCTTACTTCTGTAGGCACCTTGAAGTATAAAATGCAACTGAATGGCGTTTAGTTTGTAAATCCCTTTGTATTATAGACAATAACATTGATTATTTCTTTACAATGGCACCTGGAAGTGGGGGGGATATATTAGGCAGCAAGTGAACATTTTGTCCCTGAAGTTGATGTGTTGGAAGCAGAAAAAATGGACAAGTGTAAGGATTTGGGTGACTTTGAAAAGGGCCAGATTGTGATGGCTAGACGACTGGGTCAAAGCAACTCCAAAACTAGAGCTCTTGTGGGATGTTTCCAGTCTGCAGTGGTTAGGACCCACCAAAAGTGGTCCAAGGAAGGAGAACCAGTGAAGCAGCAACAGGGTCATGGGTGGTCAAAGGCTCACTGATGTATGTGAGGAGTGAAAGCTGGCCTGTGCAGTTTGATCCAATAGAAGAAGAGCTACTGTAGTTATAATTGCTGAAAAAGTTAATGCTAGTTATGATACAAAGGTGTCGGAACACACAGAGCATTGCAGTTTGTTGAATCTGGGGCTGCATAGCGGCAGAATGGTCAAGGTAGCCATGCTGAACCCTGTCCACCACCAAAAGCACCTACAATGAGCACATGAGCATCAGAACTTGACCATGGAGCAATAAAAGAAGGTGGTCTGGTCTGGTAAATCCAGTCCGCATTGAGATGAGGAGGGGGCTAAGGAAAGTTTTCTATCAACACCCCCAATGTGTACTGCAATTCTACATGTTGGAAATCATGTTACCTATTTTCAGCTTATGAACTGAACAATAAATTGTCCGGTGACTGCATCTGAAATTTATTACTGTCTCCTGGCTACTATATTTCTTCCTGGATGACCTACAGACATTTTAAAATCAACCCAACAAAACCAAGCTTGTTATATTCCTATCTCATCTAGAAATAGTCTGCGCTTTCTCAATTATCACTGATGAAAGTCTATTAACTCCACTCACCCACTCTACTTCAGGGTAATACTTGATATATTTCTCTCTTTGCAATCACATTCACAAGCTGAATAAATCCAGGCAGCCTGTAATGCTTATATTCATCCTTTCCAGCTACATTCTACTAACTGTAGACACTTTACATCTAAACAGGTTCAGGAATATAAGCAGTGATTACCACCATCGCCTACCCCCATCCTTCCCACCCTAATACCTAGTTCGCTGTAGAACTTCTAAGGTCTCCCCTAACTTCTTTCCTAACAGATCATTCCACTCAAAACCTGATATCTCAGTTTTTGGTTGCACAACCTCATGATGAAGGTGAGGTCCCTGCACCCAAGTTCTTCTCCAGGTCTGCATGCTCGCAATGTCAATTGATCGAGGGTCCCTGCCCATCCCAGCTGGACTCATAATGTGCTAGATTCTACATGGAGCAAGCTAAGAAATATGTCAGGGAGGCCTTACTGTTAAAATGGCCAAAAGACATAGAGATAAGACATAAGCAAACAATGTGTAATTCAACCCACCAGATTGACTTTCAAATTGCTTTCACACAGATTGAATTTCTAAAGGCAATCCACTTACTGAGATCTCGGTCACTCCTATTATAGTAACATACATGATGTTGTACATTGACAATGTTTTACTGAGGTCCACAGCAGTCACATGATTTGCTTGGTTCTAGTTAAAATGTAAGTAAAAAGAACTTTAGACTGTGCAAGTCTCTTAAAAGCTTCTTTTTAGCATCTGGCAATATATTTTTTTGGTACATTGAACCACACATGCACAGCTCAGCGCACAGACCCAGCATGCTGAGATGAAGTAACTCCCATGCGCATTAGCGGGAGTTAGATCATCAGGGCCAGGCCAATCAAGCGGCCAATGACTTGAAATAAGTCTGCCATAATGTGCTTATATGCTGTGCATACTAGCAATTAATGGCTAATAGCTTCTGGGGGCCCATTGTTTCTTAGCTTTACTTCCTTGGATAAGCTTTAAAGGGGTTCTAAACCCTCTGTTTTTTTTGCCTATATCTACTGCTATCAAGCAGTAGATATAGGCAAACAGTTTTTAAAAAAAACAAAAACGCTAAAACAGCGGTTTAAACTTACCTTTTTTTCTTTGCGCGCTCCCTCCCGAGAAAACAAAACTGTACGGGCGGCCGCAAAGCATCTTGGGGCGGACGCATGCGCAGTTCGGATTCTCGGCCGGGAGACTAGCAGAGACGCAAGGTAAGTGTTTGGACGCGTGCACCCGCATGCTCACACCGCTGGATCGGAGGGACAGAGCAGTCAGCGCTGGATCAGAGAACCGCCGCACCGCTGGAGGGACAGATGAAAACATCAGGAAAGAAGAAGATCGGAATAAGAGACATCATTTAGGGTAAGTGCTAACATTAACATGGGGGGAGGGGAAGGACATTTGACTTTAATGTCACTTTAAGGCCTTAGATATCAATATTTTGCTGTCTCCCAAACACAACATATCCCAGTATTCAAGAACATTTATACCTGTAATACAGAAGAGGTTATTTCAGGGACAAGCCTGCTTTCGAGTCAGTGCAAAACAAGATAGAGATAAATTATGTTCAAGGATGCTGTTCACGGTAAAAACAAAAGTCTGCAATAAAGACTGGTATGGTGTTTGCCTTTAACTATTCAACAAGATATATGGGATAATGCCCCTCTTGCTGTGAAATATAAGGATGGTAGATGGTATTAGAGTTTAATGGCCATATAAAAAGAAAGAGGCAGCTTGTCCAGTAGTTTTCTTCGAGCAGTAGTGGAACGCCTAAGTATGTTCTCATAACCTCAGTTTTGAAATCACTTCACAATACAATGCAGAAAAAAAAAAAAAAAGCTTGGTGAAATCCCTTCCCAGGAATATAAGTCTTGAATCACAGCAACACAGCAGGTCTCTCTTGCACTAGTCACAGCCGACACATTTTCTCCTTACTACTCCCATTCTCCTCTTTGAAGTTGCAGACTTTTTAAACCACTTCCTGTGGTAGGAAGAATAACCCTCTGGTGGCCCCTAAAGGGACCACAACCCAAACAGCAGTGAGCTATACCTGCCTTCCAGGACCCAGCCTTACACACATACACACACCTATCATTAGATCTCCTCTACTTTGACTATGTTTAGTGACCGAGGTAATTCTAGGAGGTAATGTAGAAGAATGTCTAAAGTGATGTTCTGAGGGTCTAAAGAAAACAATTCAGAAAGAAAATGAAAGGCCAGTAACCCCTGTGAACCTAAAGTGAAATAATTCATATCAGTTTCCATCTCCAGCATAATTTCTACTGTATCAGAATAATAATTATCCCATCTAGCTCTGCCTTGGAAGCAGGCAGATGCACAAATGACCTCAATAGGCTTAAAGAAGTATTGTTTTGTATTATAGACGGCCTCTTGATTGACAGCTTTTATCTCAATGTCCCCCACCTTCCAGACACAAGCAAGGTCACAGGAATGCAAATGGAGGGGGGCATGCTTTCCCAGGAATCAGCACAGGCACTAGAACTGGAAGGGGAGCCTTGCTTAGTGTTGGGAATGTGCAGGGACAGTGAGGTAAGAGCTCTCAATTAAGAGTCCATCTCCTTTGCAGATCGTGGTCAGTAACGAAGACGAGTAAGCTGTCAAAGTTCTGTACTGCAAACAGAAACATGGGATAAAAAGCAGCATACACTGTGGAAGTAAGATGACAGAGCTGTGATAAATAATACAAGGGGAGACTTCTTCTTGCTGTCCATCCCAGCTTTATAAAGAGAACATACAGTATTAATTGACGTTTGGACTTTTTAAAATTGCCAATGGCACCGAACTCAATGATTATTATGTACAGTGCTAGTTGACTGGTAGGATTCAAGCCACTATCCTGCAAGCACTCTAAGGACACCTACCTACAGGCCAAGATTTTAGACCCAGTTCTTCTGACATAGGTTTTGTGTGCACATTTCTTTGTGCACAATAATGTTAATTCTAGACCCTGCAGAAATGAAGACGTTAGGGCAAGAGAATCATAGGTCTGGTGAAATGAACTGGGTTAAAGGTCAATAAAAGACTTCTTTCAAGTAACCCTTACTGTTTGCAAATTAAATAGAAAAATGCTTTCACTCATCACCTGTACCAACTGGTAAAATTTCATCAATGAGGTCACTTTGTTTACAAATCCCTCTGAGTTTATTGCTTGGATAGTCAAGTTGAGCATAGCTTTCCTTTTTGCTGGCATGTCAAATGAACAAGTTCTTAGGTATGGGAAACAAATGAACAAGTTCTTGGGCTACTTGCTATACATTGACATGCCTGAGAGGGTACTTGCTAAAGTCTAAAGATGTAAGAGTTACATAAGATAGCATGTTATAAAATACTGCTGTACGGCACATCCGAGAGACAAATTCACCTCTAAGCCAGTTCAGCACTTCTTTGTCGATGTCTGCACAGCAAGGGAATGGAAATCTAAAGAGTATCTGACAGATCAAAGAGAATAAAATTGATACAAAGTAAAAGCACCTGGACAAAACGTTAAAGGCCATGCGGAGCTTCGTGAACCAAGATGGAATTTCCTATTGATGTTCTTCTTTTCTTTCAGTTCTTGATTAGGAGGGAGGGGGGCATCCTTTTTTGCTTTACCTGTTTTATGCTATGTCATTTTTTTTACTGTTTTGATCTATTGCAGTAATATGCCAGTTCCATTCCACATCCA